AAAAACGCAGGCAAATTTGCCTGTATTCTACTACAATCTAAGGGATAGTTTAAAAATTTTTTTTAACATTTTATTAATATCTGCTTTAACAAAAATTATATATAAGCTTTTTAATGTTGCTAAACAAAGCAATATCATATTATTTTTCATTACTATTATACTCTGCAGATTATTTTATACTTACTAATGTAGTTTGTATAAATTACTACTTTATATAAGATATAGTATACATAGTTTAAAGGATTTCTAAAATAATCGAAGTATCCAGATAAGGCTTAGAAATTAGAAGACTTTATGTTTATTCAAGAAAATATACTACTTTATACATTAAATGGAACGATTCACAGACAAAAGAAAAGAAAATTTCAGAATACATTATTAGATGAGGAATTACTCAAATTGTAGAAACAATTCGAAAGGAACCCTGATGTGACTACACTAGTAACTCGTCCATAGTCTTAAACCTTGAAGTGGATACCTTACGATAAAGAAAGTGAATATAAGGAATTTTTGATGAACCGAAGTATTAACATCACATACGATAGGGATATTACTTGGTTCGTGCATTGACAGTAACCGCGAAGCTTAATAGATATGGCTAAAATCAATATTTAAAATTTTATTAAAAATTTTAAAATATGCAGGCAAATTTGCCTATGTTACAATCTAAGGGATAATCTTTATCTACTACTCACCTGTTTTATGTGATTCTTCCAGGATCACATCTTTATAATCAAATTCGGTATGATTCGAATCTTAACTATTTATTCTTTTAATTTCGATTGTATTGCTTATATTTGATTTGTTATTGTGCTTTTTTTAGTGACATAATTCTTCAATTCATAGATAAATTCTTATTCATTTTTATTTGAATACGGATTATTTTAAGGGTAACTAATCTCTATTATAATTAATCTAACCTCTTATCATCTAATATTTTTCTTAAATTCAAGATTGATATTCTTATATGATTAAGTGGCTTATTTCTTATCTTTCCGATTTAATTTGTTTCAACATGACAACTAATCTTAATTGTAGAATTCCATCCTGACTTGAGAACAAAGTCAAGTGCAATAGTACTATTTAGTTCAAGTGATTCTAATTATTGTTTTGATATTGTACTTCCGAGTGCCTATTTATACTTATACTATCTTGGTAGTTCTTTATAGATGCTATTTTCAGTTGGTCCATTAGGACAGCATCTGCACATTGATTCGCTAATTGAATATAGTACTCAGAAGTGTCCTCAGGACGCAATCGCATATTTTTATAGTTAACATTTTGTCCTACTCAAAATCATAATGAATAGGTCTTCCTGTGGACATCTTAGCTCTAATATTAAAATATCTTCTAAATTTGAATCATCATTCTTTATAATGCTAAGTTTTTTTTTTTTTTTTTTGATATCTAAAATGGTGTTGTTTTATTAATTTTCTTTTTATATTGTAGTTACAAGCTTTGGTAAAGTATATTGAAGTCT